AAGATTATTATAAAGTACATAAACATAAAGTGATTCAAATACCTTAAAAACAAAGAATGAGAGATTAAAAAGGGACAGAGTAAAGGTGTCCCAATATCTTAGAATTATATCTTTAATATTTATTTATATCCTTAATTACCACAACGGTAAAGGGAGACGTTATATTTCAGTTATTAATTTATGTCTTTATTATAATCTTGACATCTTCCTAGATTTTTTAATTGAAATATATACATGAAGGAATGAACAAATAATAATACCTTACAGCCACTTTTCTATTATCTAGTAAATATATAATGTACTAATCTTTACTGTATGCAGGCATTCATATTATAACTGCAAAGAGCCTTATTTGCTTTATCGCATCTAATCTCTGTAACAACTCTGTGAAATTAGTCTATAATTTCCTTGTTTTATACGTGAGAAAACCAATACTTACAGCAGATACATTATTTTTTTAGAAGCCAAGCCAAGAAATAATAATTCCAGGAATTAAACCGCAGTCTGGCCAACTCCAAATGCCCTGCTTTATCAACTACCCGCCGATCTGCTGAGTTTCTCTCATGTCCTAATTTAATCATTGATCAGCTGATCCCCTACTAACATGCATGTATTTTGAAGTTGGATATCATATTGACACAATCAAAAGGTTTTCTCTGTAAAATTCACTAAGTAGGAGGTAACTTTTGCAATAGAAGCCCATACAAGGGTTGTACATATACGTGTGTATATTTATTTATATAGATACATTAATTTATATTTATGTGTATATATACATACACAAACATGTATATATAGCTGTACATACCGTAGATTAATTAGTGGATGATACTTTGCAAAGTCAGTTTCTTGGCAATAAATATTTTGTTTGCTGTGTCTCAATCATCATCTCTAACTTAATAATCTGATGCATAGTTTTAATCAAAATGACTGCTGTCCTTACCTTATGGTATTCTACATGCCCAGAATTAAAGCAATTCAGAGTATCCCTTTTAGAAAGATAAAATAAAAAGTACTGCACATAACATAATGAAGAAACATCAATTAACCACATGTCGGTCCTTTTTAAGTCAAGTGAGTTAAAGGAGGAAGGACAAAATATAAAGTGGAACTCTGTTAGTGAAATGAGAAACGTTAAAATAGTTTTTAAATCACATGATGGGATCCCAAAACCTATGCTCTGGGATACAGACTGCACCACAAGGTGAGTTGATTATGAAGGGTTACGGAGACCTGACCTTGAGAAGGAGTGCTCTCACCTGAACCACCTGGTGGGCATTGGTGTCATTGAGCACCAGCTCAGTGAGGGCAGCACAGCAGGCTGGAATGAAAACAATCAAATGCATAGTGTGCATCATTACAATAAATACACTTTCACATGAATACTCTTGCTCCACAGGGTATTTTTATTATTTTGCTATGCTTGTTAGCAAAGTAACTCCTCAAGAAACACTAATTTTCCTTCTGGCACAGCTCTGGAAGAAGAGAAGTTGGCTTGTAATGGCTTCTAATTCTCCTCTCCATGTATTTCCTGTGCACATCTATTCCACAGCAGCCATTTATTGAGAACTTACTGTGTACCAGGAGGCAAGTACTGTATCTGTCCATTTCATTGCAATCCCCAGTGCCCAACACATGCCCTGGCACTCAGCAGGTGCTCAACAAATATGTCTATAATGGTTGATAAATAAAAGAATGCTTTAAATATATTATCCAATTCAATCCTTATAATAAGAGTATGCACTATGATTACCAGTGTTAGTGGTGAGAAAACAGTTTCAAAGAGTTACTAGACTAGGCCACACAACCAGTAAGTGGAAACGATCAGGAGTGCAGCCCCAGTCTGCCAGACGTTAAATCCCCAGCCCTAAACAGCACCACTCTTGCCTCCTGACAGCCACTGTGGCAGCCTTTGGTGGCATTTTGCACTGAAATACTTGTGCTCTCAGAAGTATGCCAGACTCTATAGCACAGAGCTCCTATAAAGGATAATTCCATTTTAGTGTGCTAAAGATTTTACATATATTCCCATAGAATTCTCACAATGATCTTCTATCACTGATATCATGATTATCATCACCATTTTACATAAACAAAACTGAAGCTTGGAGAAGTTAAGGAACTTGCCCAAGGCCATATAGCCATCAATGAGGGTGGAGTCAAAACTCAAACCCTACTCTTAACCCTTTATGTTTTTAATTTTTATTTTCCATTTTTATTTAGGTATTGATATGGTTTGGCTGTGTCCCCACCCAAATCTCATCATGAATTGTAGTTCTCACAATTCCCACGTGTCATGGGAGGAACCTGGTGTGAAGTGATTGAATTATGGGGGTGGGTCTTTCCTGCACCGTTCTCATGATAGTGAATGAGTCTCACAAGATTTGATGGTTTTAAAAATGGGAGTTTCCCTGCACAAGCCCTCTCTTTGCCTGCTGCCATCCACTTAAGATGAGATTTGCTCCTCCTTGTCTTCCGCCATGATTGTGAGGCCTCTCCAGCCATGTGGAACTGTAAGTCCATTAAACCTCTTTCTTTTGGAAATTGCCCAGCATGAAAATGGACTAATACAGTAAATTGGTACCAGTAGAGTGGGGCTTTGCTGAAAAGATAACAGAAAATTTGAAAGCGACTTTGGAACTGGGTAACAGGCAGATGTTGGAACAATTTGGAGGGCTCACAAAATGACAGGAAAATGTGGGAAAGTTTGGAACTCCCTAGAGACTTGTTGAATGGCTTTGACCAAATGCTGATAATGATACGGACAACAAAATCCAGGCTGAGGTGGTCTCAGATGGAGATGAGCAAATTGTTGGGAACTGGAGCAATGGTGACTCTTGTTATGTTTTAGCAAAGAGAGTGGCGGCATTTTGCCCCTGCCCTAAAGATCTGATGGAACTTTGAACTTGAGAGAAATAGTTTAGGGTATCTGGCAGAAGAAATTTCTAAGCAGCAAAGCATTCAAGAGGTGACTTGAATGTGTTAAAGGCATTGAATTTTAGAAGAGGAATACAGCATAAAAGTTTGGAAAATGTGCAGTCTGACAATGCAATAGAAAAGAAAATCCATTTTCTGAAGAGAAATTCAAGCCAGCTGCAGAAATTTGCATAAGTAATGAGCCAAATGTTATTCCCCAAAATAATGGGGAAAATTTATTCAGGGCATGTCAGAGACCTTTACGGCAGTCCCTCCCAACACAGGCCTGAAGGTTTAGGAGGAAAAATCGGTTTCATGGACTGGACCCAGGGTCCCTCTGCTGTGTGCAGTCTAGGGACTTGGTGCCCTGCATCCCAGCCATTTCAGTCATGACTAAAAGGGGCCAGGGTACAGCTCAGGCTGTTGCTTCAGAGGGTGGAAGTCCCAAGGCTTGGCAGCTTCCATGTGGTGTTGAGCCTGCATGTACACAAAAGTCAAGAATTGAGGTTTGGGAACCTCTGCCTAGATTTCAGAGGATGTATGGAAATGCCTGGATGCCCAGGCAGAAGTTTGCTGAAGGGGCGGAGTTCTCATGGAGAACATCTGCTACAGCAATTCAGAAGGGAAATGTGGGGTCAGAGTCCCCACACAGAGTCCCTGCTGGGGCACTGCCTAGTGGAGCTGTAAGAAGCAGGCCACTGTCCTCCAGACCCTGGAATGGTAGATTCACTGACAGTGTGCACTGTGTGCCTGGAAAAGCCAAAGACACTCAACATCAACCCGCGAAAGCAGCCAAGACGGAAGCTGTACCTCGCATAGCCACAGGGTAGAGCTGCCCAAGATCATGGGAATCCATTTATAGCATCAGTGTGACCCAGATGCAAGACATGGAGTCAAAGGAGATCATTTTGGAGCTTTAAGATTTGACTGCCCTGCTGGATTTTGAACTTGCATGGGGACTGTAGCCCCTTTGTTTTGGCCAGTTTCTCCCATTTGGAACAGCTGTATTTATCCAATGCCTGTACCCCATTGTATCTAGGAAGTAACTGACTTGCTTTTGATTTTACAGGCTCACAGGCAAGGGACTTGCCTTGTCTCAGGTGTTGGACTGTGGACTTCTGAGTTAATGCTGAAATGAGTTAAGACTTTGGGGGACTGTTGTGAAGGTATGACTGGTTTTGAAATGTAAGGACATACGATTTGGGAGGGGCCAAGAGCAAAATGATATAGTTTGACTGTGTCCCCACCCAAATCTCAATCTTGAATTGTAACTCCCACAACTCTCACATGTCACGGGAGGAACTCAGTGGGGGGTGACTGAATTATGGAGGCGGGTCTTTCCTGTGCTGTTCTCCTGATAGTGAATGAGTCTCGCTTGAGATCTGACGGTTTTTAAAATTTTTTTTTTGTAAACCCATGAAAGTGCACTTAGTTTCCCTGCACAAGCTCTCTCTTGCCTGCCATCATCCATGTAAGATGTGACTTGCTTCTCCTTGCCTTCCACCATGATTGTGAGGCCTCCCCAACCATGCGGAACTGTAAGTCCATTAAACGTCTTTTTTTGTAAATTGCCCTATCTTGGGTATGTCTTTAGCAGCGTGAAAATGGACTAATACAGGTATAGAATAAGCTGTATAACGTAAACACATCTTAAGTGTATGGCTCAATGAGATATTACATATCTGTGTGCCCTGTAACCATCCTCCACCCAGAGGAATGTGTAGGCTATATTTCCAGTTCTCAAAGGCTCCTTGTGCCCCTTCTCAGGCATTTATTCCCCTATAATTCCACATCTAAGTAGCTGCTCTTCTGAATTCTATCACTATCAATCTCACCCACTCTTTGAATGATTGCTAGAAACACTTAGAGCTCTGAGATTCTGCTGGATTAGATTTCTGGGGAGCCTTCAAACAGTAAACCCCCAGCACAAGACCTTGTACTGAGACAGGGTCTTTTTAGAGTAAGCAGTAATGGCATTTTGAGGAGATCCTATGTCCTTGTTTTCACACATCTGTGAAGAAATATCTTCTGTATTCTTCAGGAGAAAATAGTAGACAGCAAGGAAAGCCTGCTTTCTCCCACTCCCCCACTCCCTTGTTTCCTCTCCCGCAATGTCTGCTCTTTCCCCTCAGAGTCCCCCTGTCTACTGCTGGCCCACACCACACCTCTCTGCTCCCTTTCTGTGGGCTGCTCTGGGGCACCCAACTTGGCCAATAGCACTCAGCACTCAGCACTACAGTGCACCAACTGCACTGTATCTCCACTTGTCCCAAAGGCCAGGTGCCCCCAGGCAGGACACAAACTGCATGACTGCTCAAGGTGGCCCTGCCAAAAAGCATTGATGCATTGCTGCTCCTGCTTGCATGTGAAAATCCTAGACAGGGCAGCATCTTTCAGTCTTCTCTTTGGAGCTCAAGAAGCATGGGGAAGGTATTCTCTTGAACCTGGTGAGACAAATGTGTGCACTGCAGATTCCCCCTTATGTAAGGTGCTCTGGGATCTAGAAAATTCTAGAAAGCATGACTCCGGCCACAGATCAAGCTGCATCCCCTAATCCAGTTTCCCTCATAATAAAGCTAATGTTTTGTCTCCCTATCTCTGACTTCTGAGTTTATCTCTTTCTGGGTTCAGAACATAGAAGGCAAAGAAAACATTTGTTATATCATTCATCTACAAGTCCGACACTGGGACCAAGAAGTTTCCAGCATCCACGTGGATTTCACCTCACATTTTTGTAAACTTCTAAATTGTGCCTACTTAACACTATTATACTAATCTATAATAGTGAATAATAATACAACATAGTAAATTATAGCATATCAAATAATAAAACATAAACACCTGCTTGAAGAGAGAAAGTATTTTCTTGTATTTCCCTAGGGCTCAAGTCTTCTGATAAATGAAGCTGCTGAATTCGGCCTGCAGCATTTGCACTGGACAGGCTTCCGATGGAGGAGCGATCAGAAACAAAATTTCTGTCTCTGAAAAAGAAAAGTTAATGCACAGACCATTTATCAATTTCCCTTCACCGTCAGTCCTTTCTATGTCACATTCAAGAAATCTTTGCCTCCCTCAGGTCATGAAGGCTTCATTATTGTTTCACTTTCCAATCCACCTGGAGTTGATTTTTGTGTATGGTGTGTGGTAAGAATCTTTTTTTTTTTATGGTTACTGAACTGATTCCTCACTATTTATTGAAAAGTGTCCTCTCCCCACTGCTTTACATGGCCACCTTTGTTTTTGAATTTTCTATTTTCCTGGAGTTGATTCACCTGAATACATCTTAGTCTTGATTATTCTCTGTTTTCTTTTTCCATGAACTTGCAATCTTCCTTTATTTTAAGAAAGTTCTCTTCTATCATACCTTGGAAAAGTTTAGCCCTTTTCATTTTACTCTGTACTTCCAGGATCTCAATTATCCACATGTTGAAAACCTGTCTTCTTCTATTGGGCATATCATTCATTTTCTAATTTCTTTTATTCGTTGGTCTTTTTCTTCTGCATTATATGTAATTTTTTCCAAGCTTACCCTACATTTTACTATTTCTATTTTTTTTCTGGTGATCTAGCTAATTTGTCGGTTCTGTAGGTGTTATTCAGTCCTTGCTTTCTTTCCTGGCTCTGCAGTCTTCTCCCCTTTTTGTGTCCAAAATTTGTTTCATCTTTAATCTCATTTCATAAATTCATGCTCTGCTTAATGTCCTTGATGAAATAAAGCATTCGCTTTTCTGTTTACTCTGTGCACTTTCTTCCATAATAGATTCTTCATCTGTCTTTTGCCTGCTTTGTTGTCTTTTATTTTACATAGTTACCATTTTTTTCCATGTATTTTTTTTTTTATAGCAGCAACTCCACCTGGATTTCTCCGTTCCTAAATGTAACATGGATGGAGTTTCCTTGACTTCCCTCTCATGTCATCTGGGTCCACTAGTGTCCTCCCTGTAATGAGCATGGGGAAGGTAATGGAGCTGAGCCTAGGGACATCACAGGTGGCGATCTTATCTGTCAACATTATTATCTTAAAACTCAAATTGTAGGGATCTCTTCACCTGAACAAGAGAGCCCTTTGGGAGCTGCCTTTGAGTGTGGGACGGCAGGTGAACAGGCATGAGAAAGTTTCATGGAAACTGCCCTGACAACAGTGGTGTTCATAGTCAAGCCACAAGACAGCCTGGCAACCTTTACCCCTAGTGCCAGCTGCAGTCAGCCCAGGGGCAGGAACGAGCTCTGAAAGGAAACTGTTTATCCAGCTGGGGTAATAAATTCTCCCAGAGCACCAGCACATATTTAACATAGAATAAGAGTTAAAATATGTCATTATCCCAGGGAAAAGTTTGCTAACATTGCACCATCAAAATGGACTGGAAAATGATTCTTTGGATGTGAAAGACCTCTTTTTCACCAAGGATAGTTATGACTTGAGCAAAAGAGAAAAGCTAGATTCAATTCTATACGAGAAAAAGGCAGGTTTTGTCTTTGAAATTCTGCTTAACTATTATAGAATTTCATTTTATTCTTAAGAAAACAGCTGTTCTCCAAGAGGGCAACCCACACCTATTGCAATAGGTATGGTTGTCCAATAATAAAGATATAACCACCGCCATGATCATCATTACCATCGTCATCCTACAAACCTAAATAAAAAACCTTTGGCAATTGTAATTATTTTGACCAAGGGGCTGGCTTATTATGTCACAGCACTAATGAATGACTTATAATTTATACTATAAAGTATTGATATCTTTATGTCACATTCATAAAGCAAGTAGATTGCCAACAGTCTATAAATTTTTTTCTTTGTTTAGGTAATGACAGATATTGTTAACAAAGTGACTGTTCATGTCTCTACAGTCTGTTCTTATGCTTCTGAATGTTCCCTCAGAGAAAATGAAGTTGGTAACACACAGTTCTGCAATATCCCTAGAAGCATAACAAGTACAAAGTCATAACAATATTGATTTGACAATATCTAGTTATATGAAAATTGATAAGTCCCTCTGCTTGTATTAAAATGAGCTTTATTTATGTACTGCAGATCATAAACATGATCTAGTTCAAATATGCATACTCATTTTTTTTAACTTTGATTCAGCACCCATAGAACTGAATTATACTTTAAAACAACATTAGGTAATAGAATCTTCCCATGGATGGTACCACAAGATATTATTATTCAATACTTCAATATATTTAATTCAGAAAATACAGGAGTTAGATTGCAACATGCTTCTAGAGAATTTCAATTGGAAACTAAACTATCCATTCTCTATGCTTCTGACTTACAATGTCACTGGAATTCTACTTTTAAAAGAGAGATGATGCCCACCTTAGAGGACCATTGAGAGAAAAGTAGAGAACTGGACTAGAGTTAGTAACATGGCAACCACTTGATTAATGATATCATCTTTGAAAAATAAGGATTATACACCTGCTCCTTTCATATAGGCTTTATTTTCTCTTTATAGATAATAATATATGTGCACACACAAACATTTTAGGAAAATATTAGTAATCTTTATACTTGGAATGACAAAATGCGTATACTAATTCAAGGAAAAGGTGACAAGACAAAGGTTTTCTTTAGGTTACTGGATTTCCATTCAGCCTTCACTATATTTGCAGATTGATGGCCTTCGACATTCCCAGCACTGTACTGGAGGTTGGTGATGCAAAGATAAATATATCCGGGTCCCCAAGGAATTTAAAAGATGAATGCCCCTGACATTGATGTAGAACATGCTTGTGACAAGTATAGATGACTGCGGAAGGCATGAATTACCAAAGAAACCCCAAAGCAGAAGGGAACGAGGTGAGCACACACCAATCTGCCATCTCGTCACAGAGTCCCCAGACTTCAACACATAGGGCAAAGTAGGCCAAAGCCCACTCTGACTCACCCTCGTAAAATATGAAGAAGCTGTTTGATGCCTCCCCAAATACGAATTTCCACGCTGGTCTCAGGGTCCTCACAAACCTGTACCAGAATCCAGACAACGCTCCAGAGCAGCTTCAGGTGGTCGGAGTGGAGCAGACTAAGGAGGACAGGTATCCCCTCGTAGAGCTTCACCTGCTCTTTCACCTGGGGCTCTGCACAAAGTAGGCGCAGCAGCTCCGCTGTTAGTCTGAAAGGGGTGGGGAGAGTGGGGGTGAGAATCACAATATCATGAGTTGATGACTTTACATTAAGACTAAAGCTATCATCAGTGCATTAAATATAACCCTAACATTTTGTAAGTCATGGGTCAACGTGCATTTTCTGTTAGGAGCCCGATCAAAATCAAACACTTTTAGCTTTACTAACCGTACAATCTCTGTCACAAGAACTCATCTATGCTGATAGCATGAAAGCAGCCATAGACAACATATAAAAATAAATTAGCATCCCTGTGTTACAATAAATCTTTATTTACAAAAATAAGCAGTGGAATAAACTTAGCCTGTGGGTCATAGTTTGCAGATCACTGTTCTAAATTATAGGCTCGTTGCATCATCATTGGTCTGGTTAAAAACCTACTGACCAGCATTGGCAGGGCGTGGTGGTGTGTGCCTGTAATCACAGCCACTTGGGAGGCTGAGGCAGGAGAATTGCTCGAACCCAGGAGGCAGAGGTTGCAGTGCGCCAAGGTCACTTGCGACTGCACTCCAGCCTGGGTGACAGAGCGAGACTCTATTTCAAAAACAAAAACTACTGACCAGCAAATAAGTATCAAGGACAAACAATGAGATCTGCATTGTGCAAAAAAAAAAAAAAAAGACAAAAAAAAAAAAAAAAAAAAAATTAAAAGCCTTATTCTAGTCTTCAGAAACTTACTATGTAATTGCAAAATAAGACATTCATAGAAAATGCCAAAAACACTACAATGCAGAGGAATTAAGGGCAAAGCACTCAGTGACTATATACTCAGTGTAAAGTGCATTAAATTGATGGTACAGACACAAGGTTCGGCTGTGCCATGAAAAATTATGATGATAAATGTTTTATAGAATCATCCTCAGTCCTCTAGTCTCATCCTTAAACACTCTCATCCTGGATAGTGTCATCCATTCCCAGGATTTCAAACACTCTTTCTACCTTGCCATCATGATCTCAGCCCAGGCATTGCTCCTAACCTCCGGAAGTTTTAGCCACATGGATGATCCACAAGTACTCACCACACTACCCCTAAACTCAAAGTCATTAGCCTCCTCCCCAGGTCTATTCTTCACCTTATATCCCCGACCTTGACTCATGGCACCACAATATTTTCAGTTTTCCAAGCCATAAGACTGGGAGGCATCAAGACACATATTCCTCTTTTCACATTCCTCCACAGTCAGTCAAGAGCTCTTAGTGTTTTCTATTTCCTGGGTAACTTCCGGGATGCTCTTGAACATCAGGCAGCTAGCTAACCCCCCTGCTCCTCCCCTCCTTGTAATCCTTGGTCACGCTCAAGATATAAACCCTTCTTTCATCTACCTTTCCAATATATTCATTCCCATACTGGGTTCTCATTCCTTTCCCCTGAACTGATTATCTATGGCTCCTCTCCCTCCCAAATTTTGTGCTCTGACATTAATAATAAATGTTCTTTGATAAATAGTATTCTTCACCTTCACAAACTTTCTACACCAAACATCCTCTCCTTGTTGTAAGTGGATCTCAATATGTGAATATAAACAAACACCCCCACCTCACTCCCACATACACTGCTATCAAAGTGATCTTTCAAAAAACAAATCTGATCATGCTTAAAATTTTTCCACGAGTCCCGATAATGTTTATGATAAAATTCACATTGTTATTTATCAGAGACCAGCATGACCTGGATAAAGGTGTCTTGTTGCCTTATCTATAAAATATGGGAAAAATAGGGTTAGTGTGCAGATCACATGAGTTAATATGCAAGGTGCTTAGAGCAGGTCTTGGAATAAATAGAACACTGATCAAAGTTAGTTACATTTTAAGTTTATCATTAACTATCTGCTCTAGTTCTCTGGCAGTTTCGTTCTTGTGCTCCTGCTGTGCCCAACCATCCCATTCCTCTAACACACCCAATTTCATGCCTCCATGTCCAAGCACATTCTGTTTTTACTTTGTCTCTCTCTCTCTCTGGCCAGATGTCTCCTCTTTCCTCCAGGAAACTTTGCATGACTCCACATTCTAATTGGGAAGTCTCTGCTCCGTGCTCCCAGAGTCCCCTGTGCATCTGTCTACTGTACCAGTTATAGCGCTGCCTGACCCTCTCCTACGTTACATATTTATAACTTATTCATCTTTGGCTTTCAACACCTGGTACCAAGCTTAGAACCTGGTTTGTTCAGATAAACAAGTCTATAAGTATTATCTAGATTTAATGCTCTTTTATGAGAGTTTTGAAGAAGAATACAAAAGGATTTACTATGAGTTAAGTGTCAGGGCTTCATTGCTTGAGATTTCTTTTTATCTCTTTTGCCTCTTTAGAAAATCACTCAACTAAATATCAAATGATGTAGATTGCAACTCTGTTTAAGCACAATCTAATAACTATCTGGATAGTTATTAGAACAATATGCAGTTCAAGTAAAAATGAATCCATTTTACTCTAGACTTTATTTTGAGTTATTAGAGCAGGTGATCACAAAACAAGTCAGTTGCTATCTTATTTTACTTGCCTTAATGCAAATGGATCTTAACAATCTAATCATTTATTGTAATACACAATTTGAAATTACTAAAAATAGACCCACCTCAGAGTTTCTTTCCCTAAAAAGGCAGGATATAAACAAACGCAATAAACAAAACATTAAAGATGATATCACAAAAATTTATTTCATCAGTCTCTATGTCCAGATCTAGAAGTAATGCAGGACTAAAGATAAATGGATATACTTCTTTGCTCTATTCTCCTTATATAAACTTAAACAGAAAATAAATGCCAAGCTGACTCATTATATTCAGTTACAATGTAAATAACACGACATAATAAAAATAATAACAAGTGTTTCTGTCAAATAAAGGCACTGCATTGTCTTTTTCTCCTGTTAGCAATCCTACCTTTTAGAAAGCAAGTCGTATTCATGTAAAATCATCAACAGATTCTCTACAATGTTGAGTTCACTTATCTTCTCCCTACATTCTGGACTGTAAATTGAAAAATATTAGCAATTACTAAAAGCATATTTTGCTACCTCCATGTATTAGTCCTTTTTCATACTGGTATAAAGAACTGCCGGAGACTGGGTGATTTATAAAGGAAAGAGGTTTAATTGACTCACAGTTCAGCATGGCTGGGGAGGCCTCAGGGAACATAAACAGTCATGGTGGAAGATAAAGAGTAAGCAAGGCACCTTGTTCACAAGGCAGCAGGAAGGATAAGTGCCGAGCGAAGGGGGAAGAGCCCCTTATAAAACCATCAGATCTCATGAGAACTCACTCACTATCACAAGAACAGCATGGAGGAAATGGCCCCATGATTCAATTACCTCCACCTGGTCTCTCCCTTGACATGAGGGAATTTTGGGGATTATAGGGATTACAATACAAGATGAGATTTGGGTGGGGACACAAAGGCTAACCATATAAATTCGCTGTATTTCTATTATATTTATATTCGCTCCAATATTATCTTGGGAGAAGAGATCAGAAAACAAAAGGAATCATATGTTATTCACAGAAAAGCAATGGTCCACTTATTGTCTTAAAAACACTTAAAATAATCATGACATTTATAAGGAGAAAGATCTTCTTGAAAATTTTTCAAAGCCCACAAATGTTTGAAAATGTTCTGTATGTTAAAATTCTCAGGTAAGAATGAATTAAGAAGGTCAAAAAGATTCAGCTGCCAAAGAAAGATTATGGTGATTTTGAAATTAGAAGTAACTGAGGGTTAGATAAAAGACTAAGTAAACATTTCCAGTCAGGAAATAAAAAGAAAATTTTAAACTATGATTTGCCTTTCCAGTTTAAATTTTTAAATAATGCTTTCTATCCAGGATTCTCTTCAACATGTTATTTCACACTTATGTATCAAGAAATTTTATTAAGTAGTTGACAAAGTAACTGATTATTTTGCATCCTTCCCACCTAAATTGCTATAGTAGTAGAACTGGAAAGTATAGCAGAATATACTACTTACCTTTCTGCTAAACTAGCCAGAGCCAGAAGGGAACCCAATAGAACATTAGTATCTCGGGCACCAAGTAAATTTACTAATGTCTGAAAAATGAAGTAAAATAAAGTTTAATTATATAAGTACTACAAGCTTCTTTTTTCAACATTAACATTAATTTATTTTCCATTACCAGCCACTTGAATGGCAAAATGTTTCCCTCTCAAGATCATACAGGCTTAACCTTTTTGTTTTGTTTTGTTTTGTTTTGTTTGCTTAGTAGTTTATAATGTATGTGCATATACAATTAAGCACAAACTGTATATATAATGTTAAAGCTGCTCTCTCTTATGTTTTTTTCTTAATGTCATCTACCGAAATTTTTTCATGGCATTAAAAATACCTTTATAAACACTTTTTGTCAATATAATCAAGTTGTTTATTTTATTATGGCTTTAACCATAGAATAGTGAAAAAATATTATGGCCTCTCAAGCCTTATGCAGTTTCTTTTTTATTTTTTGTAGTCAATATAAAAGTTTATTCTTAAAAAGAGTTTTATTAAACATTCAAAATATCCGGTTCTTTACAGATGCAGGAGTCCATCTCTCCTTACTTTGGAACTCTTGAGAGTAACCTCTGGTAGCCATTCCTTGCCCAGGACAGGAAGCAAAAGGCATCAAGCCACATGACCAGCCTGGTTCTCATACTTCCCTCTATTTCCATGTGCCCAAGTATTCTCTGCCCCTTCTGATCCCACCCTGGGGAGAACCGGGACAATTAATGACATAAATTACAACAGTGGTGGAGATCAGCCATTGAGAACTCACTTTGAGCTAGGCACTGTGCTAGTCACTTTCCAAATTATGAAACTATTTTTCAACAAAATATTGAAATTTTCATTCTTTTGCCAAATTAAAGAAGATATGAATACTATCGAGCATTCCATTTGCCTCTCAGATTTCTAATTGATGTTGAAGGTGCACCATTGATGCTCCCAAGCATCATCCTAAATAATATGACTTAGCTGGAAGTCTGTATTTTGTCAGTGGCTTTCCCTGAATTCTTGTTAAGGCAGGTTTTCTTACTTGGAAAATTCTCTACATTTTCAGAATGCAGAGTGCCCCTGAAAAGTGCCTCCCAAAATGTCCCAGGTCAGAGCTGCAACCTGTGCAACGACTGCAAAGATAATTTTTATGTTTCCAGTATATGGATTTTTTGCCAAGTTGATTTCATTTTATCTTAATAAAGTTACCATTATCTTTGTTCATCTGATCCCTTCCTCTTTTTCTTCTCTCTTTTATCTCTGTCTTCTAATGTTTCCCAAATTTCAATCCATTACATATTACTTTCACAATTTTTGCCATATTCAATGAACACCTTTAATGTTAGCTCAAAACAATTTTCCAATTGTAAGCAATAGTATCTGTGAAATAGATGGCTATGGAAACAAAAACGTTGACCTGTGTATCACCTAGAATCATCCTCTAGACCATGAGCGGCATGTGTTAACACATTTTAGGCAATCTTACTCCCATATACACTAGAAAGTGGCTTCCTGGGATATGAAACTCAACAGGTTACTGAAACTTGGCTCCACATGGTTACAATCTAAACAGTTTTGCTATAAATATAGTCTGTTTTGACCTACAGTGGCAATCACATGTGGTTCAAACTACCATAGCCCCACATGCCATATGGAATTTATATGTATACATATGCACAATTTTATTTTTGTTGACTTATTTATAAATGTACACCTAGGGTGAGTTTATACATAGCCAGGGATTTTCAAGTAATATTTAAGCAATAAACCTAGTTGGTATTACATGGCATAGAAAAAAGGAAAGGAGTTCCAGAAAACGTGTATTTATTATATCTCTATAACTCAAAACGCTGGCAAAGAATATAAAAGGGTTGACAAAGATTCACAATTTTAGGCCAGGCTGCCAGGTTTCTGGATTCTAATTACACATGACTTAACTGCAAAGGCTCTGAACTTCCCAAATGTGAACGATTGCCATAGGGAGCTGAACCATTAACTCTTTCGGGGGCCACTCACCTTGTGGGCTCCACTTGTGGTGACCCATTCTCTTTGATCTTTGACTGCAGCAAGTTTTTGAAAGATATCTATAAAGGAAAGAAAGAGCGCAAAGAGGCATCTGGAGATTAAAGGGGGAGTACTCCCGGGAGCACAGATCTGCAGTACATATGGGTAGGCAGAGACAGGGCAAAGGGAATACAGACAGCACGAAAGGAACAACAGATGCAGGAGCAGCATGGCTACTTTTTTACCCCAAGAATTACTCCTCAAGCTCCACTGTTATTTATTTTGTAATGTTATTATAATAATGAAATCTAAAAATACCAAAAAAGGCAAACCTCTCTTTCCACTTAAATTTGAACACGTTTCTTAACATTACCAGTTCCAAGTGAGGCCTGTTCTTCAAAGGTCCTCTCTGCAAAGATTTCAACTTATAAAGAAGAGAGGGAAGGCCAGCAAATGAGAGGAACCTGCTAGTTTCCTCAGCTGAGGAAAACAGTCATCCTCAAAGAGAATTCCTGGTGCCCAGGGCTTGCCATAAACTCTTCTCTGCCCGGATCTGAGAACCATTGTGCTGCCCCACAGGAAGACACGGAGAGCCAGTCGATTCACACAAAGACAACGGACTGGCCTCCCACACGGCAGGACATCTGTGGCTCATCAAAGCTGGAGTGCAGGACAGCAAGGCGGGGAAGAGCCTCTAACGGGAGAAGATTGAGTGACTAAGGAATACCTCACACTCACAGCCCAACGTTTTCACATTCACAGCATCAGATAAGGTTTGTTGTTGTTATTTTTCTTTTTCCCGCTCTGGATGCTTCAGATTCTATGAGGTAGGTATCATGATTAACCCAATTTTATAGAAAAAAAAAAAAACTGGATAGTCTCTGACATTTTAACAGAAATAAAAAGAGGCAAAAATATGTTTTACCAAAATTTGCTTTTATGGAAGCCTCTCCTGCATTAAATAAATTGTGCTTTTCAAGGTAAGGGTTGTAATCTAAACATCTTCCTTTTGGCTGTATGTTGCCACTAAATATAACAACTGGCCAGGATGCTCAGCACCTGAGCTGTGTGTGGAAACATTAATAAATATTTAAAGCATCCTTGTTTCCTACTGCAAACACCATACTGCTTTTCTAGCAAGTCCACAAAACTGGCTGTGTCCCCACAACAACACTTACATGTCATGTTGACCAGCTTGTCCACAGTGTGCTGCTCTTCTCCATAGCCGAGGTACTCACTGGCTACAATCTCCATGTACTGCATGAAGGACCAAACCAACAAGCCAGTCAGGAGGACACCAAAAGCACACAAGGAAGCAAGGAACAAGATGCTGCAGTTCTTAAAATAAACTGTAGGTGGCACAACAGATTCATCAAATAATACTCATGCTCCTTCTGGGACTGTTACCACTCAAGCGCAAAAGGTGGCTGGGTTTCTAGATTCTTTGACTTCTCTTGCATGCTATGAAGTTGAGGGAAAGACCATCTCAAGATTCTATAAACTCTCGAAAGTCTCAAAATGACTCTTCACTAGGAAAGTTTGTGGTGTAATTTAGTATTCAAATACAAGATACATATAAGATACATAATATATAGTATATGGAATGTTTATTCTTCAATGTATCTTTTCAGGAGAATTTTTTATAATACATTGTATATATTTTATTGACATTATATTTTATAGTCTCTGAATATATGTCTAACCAGCATACATGCAGTTAGCAATAATCAGAATAAAATGAGCACTGAGTAGTCTGATAATTCTCACTGTGGATAATTGATTATAATAAGAAACAGGCTCAGGGAAACAGGTAGTTTCTAATATTATAAAAGAAGTTAAAATGGATAAGAAGATGCTTTGTAATATAATCTTATGAAATATTACGTTATTAAATGAGGTAAACCTCTAGTCAATTTAAAAAGGTTCTTGAAAAAAAAATGAATCAATTTTCTAAGAATATAATAAAATAAAGTAGATTTAATGTTAAATTGCCACAAACGTAATCTTCCATTAATTATTCAGAATGAGTTTGCAGGGCCACATGTTTATTATGAAAATCATTCTCTCTGTAAACATTATACAGGTTTTAGGAGACTAGCCTGTTCCAACTCAAAAACATGATCAGAAATTTTGTTTTATTCCAACCTGGCCAACATGGTG